GCTCCCAGATTCCACGTTCAGGATGGTATTTCAAGAGCGCTTCGCGATGGATATTCTGTGGAAATCTCCCTCCCATATCTTACACACTCCACAGCTACTTTGAACATTATCAACTAATAATTCGGGATGCCCAGCCGGCGAGCCTTCATCATAATCTTTCTTTTTCGAAAGAGTGATTAACCGATATTGGGAATGTTTTACTAGATCTGGCAGTAGAGAAAGGGCTTCGTCCCTCAAGAGCAAGAAAACCGCGAGCATCAAAACTATCCCAATACAAGTCTCCAGCAGCGGAGGGGTGGAGAACGCTGCCCGAGGAGAAGCAGATTGCGGCTCCGTATTTCCCGGAGAAGTGGTGCGCGTTTCGTTTATTATTTCCGTTGCACCCGATTTCAACTCTGTATGAAAGGCGCGTTTATGGCAAGAAGGTGATCCCTATAGATTTTCTCCCAAACGACGCGGAGATCCTTGGGAGGAAAGCATGAAACGCGTGGACCTGTATGACGATGAAATGTGTCGAGGGTGGAAAGAAGACGTCGATACTCTCCTAGTCTTTGTGAGCGGTCCGAATTCCAACGAGCGTAATCGTTCGTTTGCTAATGCTGAAATAGGCAGGATTGTTTTCTGCTGCTGTGACCGCTTTCATAATTGAAAGCTACAAATGGTTACAGCCTAACAACTTAGATTTCAACTTGCAGCTGCTTCAACATATCGCGGTTCAGTTGAATACCCAAATTTCTACGAGTGCTCAACAAGATTTCAGCGCCGCCTCGGCTGTCCGTATCAATGCGGTCTGGTTCTTGAGCCTTATATTCAGTCTATCTACAGTATTACTCGGAATCCTTTGCAAGCAATGGCTCCGGGAGCACAGACGCGACACTCCTGTCTCTTCTTCGAAGGAAGCATTGGAGCTTCGACAACTCCGTTTCGAGAGTCTAGAAAAATGGGGAATTCCTGCTCTTTTAGCCTCTCTCCCCCTCATCTTACAGTTGGCATTGGTCCTTTTCTTCTATGGCTTACTCGACCTTCTGTGGTCGCTTAATGTGGTCGTTGCTGCTATCTGCACTGTTGCCGCTGCCATCAGCCTCTCAATTCCTTTTTTGACCACTATTCTTCCTACTTATTACCTCTTTAAATTCTCATCTTCCATTGACGAAGATGAAGCTCATATATGTCCATACAAGTCTCCCCAAGCTTGGCTCTTCTATAAACTGATGACGTTCTTTTCACTCGGTGGGCACGATCCCTTCCAAAGCTGGGCCTCGAGTGATTTGTTTTTACTCCGCAATCACTCTCCTTTGAGACGGGTACAGCACAGCATTTTCCTCTTACGAGGACTTCGTTGGATGGTCAAGACGTTTTGCGATAGCAGTGTTATGGCAAATCATATGTTTCACTGTTTCCAGAACCTTCCTGTGGATGTAGCGGCCTTTGCCACAGGCTGGATAGGAGCATATTCACGGGATTCGATCTACTACCATTTCTTCAAAAATTCAGCCTGGGATCTGGATCTCGGAAAATTTCTTGCAGAGCTCTTCCTCCGACAGATCAACTCTCCTGCTCACAAAGACCGCACGGTCGGAGATGCGCTCAAATCGTTCTGGCATTTGGCAGTTCTCGATTTTGTTGGAGATGGTATGCACTCATCGCGCCTCTGATCAGGGATAATGCGTCTTACTCGGAACCTGCAGGACAAGCGCCGCAGCTCCATCTGGAATTCTTACAACAGATAATCGCAACCATTAGATGTTACTGCGCCGACGACCGTATCACTCTCTTCGACATGAACCCGCTCATGATCGTATGTAGAGATCTTTGGCGACATCCGGATTCCGCTATACGACAACAAAGCATCTGTATCGTTGATGACTTTGAAGCATGGATCTCTCGCACAAGTGAGGAACTTCAGCGAGAGTTCATTCCCAGCTTCGCATCGTCCATCACGGATATTATCTATCTGGAAGATGAACGTGCGCCGACTTCAGCCCTTATTCTTTCTGAGAAAGGACGGGCTTTTATAAAACTTTTGGATAAACATTTAGCTGTTCAGAATATTGATCTGGATAAATATTCTCTTCAGGAAGTGCCCATGTCATGGCAGGAGGCTAAAGCAAAAGTGCTCAGACTCTCGGGATCGCCGCCTGATTTTTTCGAGGAAGTTAGTTTTGACTCAAATACACCAGCAACGAATGATCCTAGGGGTTCTTTAGTTGCTAGCGATTCACTTACAGTAGGATAATTAGACCTAGGTTTTTATCGCAATACATCATCCTCAAACATCTTCATTTTAAGCGCCCGGAAATTGGGAGCGGCGATCTTGAGGAGATTCCAATTGTTGCTTGTCACCCATCACCAACGAGGATTGTTTTCAACATGGTCACTGTTCTTTACCACTGCTCATCCATGAAGTAACCGCAAACAAGTTTTTGTATCCTTTTGTAAAGTTTATTACAAGCTCTTTGTAAGAGAAGACAACTAATGATTCTCAAATCTTAGTAGCCGATTCTATTCTGGTGCTCTATATACGTCTACGACTCCGCCATGCTTTCCGTAAACGTCATGTTCGTCTTACTGGTGGTGTACTGGGCGGGCCTATACTTGGACAATCCCGCTTCAGTGCCGGAATCATCACCAAAAGACTGTTTAGCCCATAACACGTTGAACGACCTTATCGACTGCCTTGACGCGTTTTCTGTGTCCCCAGATTTCTACGATGCCTCTTCTTACGCTGCTGCTCAGCCCACGGATGAAGAAAACTTAGCATGGACGTCTGTGATATATTCCATGTTGAATGCGAATGCAAATGATTGCGCTGATATCACCTTGCCCTCGGCATTGGAGCACATCTACGCTGTCACAACCTTTCCCGATGCTGGTGTCAACAGGACATTCTGCGTCCTTTCTGAGACTACCGCAAGCGTGTACAGTAACTATACGAAAGGATGGGGGCTGATGGTCGTACCCGCTTCAGCTAAAGATATCTCCCGCCACATTCACCTTTCAGCGCCTCATCCTCAGGCTGATATCAATACGCCACAACAAGCCGGAGCGATTTTCACGCTCTCAGGAGCACATAGTTTGCTCATCTCTGGTCGGTTCCGATCAGCGTACGCGGTGCAAACGAATTGTATAATTCCAGCTGGAGCCAAGAAAGTTTTTTATAAAACTGATCCTGCTCATGATGTGGTATGTCTTGAAGTAATGAAAATCGTCTGATATTCATCTTACTAGGCTATCTTCATAGCGCGAACCTTTCAGTGTTGCTAATTTGGTAATCCGAGAATGGCAAAATGCGCATGGCGGATGTCCTTCAGAGACTTGTGCATACGTGCAAATTCACGGAAAAGCTGCCTCGTCTTGTGTAGCGGATACAATGTTCATTTCGAGTGGTCTCGGTAGGTCTCGATTCATTAATATTCAGGTCCGACTCAAGCTTTTTTGACTGATCATTTACGTTCCCCATGGCCAGGAAATTCCGATTCATCTCTGTCATGGTATGAAGATCATTCACTAAATATCCCTGCTCGCCGACTTCGCGACATAGCAAGAATAATGTTTCCTAATTGGAACGCCTCACTCCCTTCCGACGATCCAACCTGTGTTTTGACCGCTACGAGCAACGTTTTTGGTCGATTGATTAACGGCGTTCCGGGCGGCAGTGTCTGCACAACCGATGCTGATTCTTCGATAGCTACGGGCGAATTCATTCATATCGAACAAGCGATCGTGTCTAGGCAGAGTGACGTTTATGATCAGTGGGGTGAAATTTTAAGACGCGCTTTTCGGACTACTTGTGCGGAAGGAACGGTGAAAGATAGCAAAATAGGTCTTTGTGTTCTGGCCTGAGAAGCTCCAAGAATTGCCCAAGAGGATTAAACGGTCCCAATAGTACATTGGTCATTCCTTAATCATTCTTCCATCCGCCCTTTCAAAGGTGTGATCCCAAATGTCTCCCAGAACTCTCTCGAATCCAACGCACGCCCAAGAGTCTCGTTGCTTCTAGGAAGTGCCCTTACACCGGTCTCGCGCATGAGTTCACGAACCCAAGCTGCCTGTGGTCCACAACTCTCGGAATCAGGTCCGAGATTTGAATTGTCAGCATCTCCTGGACCAGAGCCCCAGGCAGATGCGAGATCCCACCAGTCGTAGACACGTCCATCTGTCAGCAGCCAGCGCTGACCAACTGCTTTGGAAAAATCTTTGTGAATTGCGATTATCGCTCGAGCGACGTCGATACCGTGTATCATATGTATACTTCCCTGTTAATGAATCAGTCTCGTAACATTTGCAAGTGAATAAATAAACGTACTTTGTTTCTGAGAATCTCTTTTGTTGGCGCCACTTTTCCAACCCATCTCTTCATCGTCCTGTTCCCTCCATAAAGACCAGCAAGATCCAACACAGTCGTTGGAGCTTCGGGAGACAAGGCCAACAACTCATCTTCGGCATCCGAACGTTCATTAGAGTTATACGAGCTGTGTCTGTCGTACCATTTGTTTTCTGCTGGTGTAATCACTTTGGGATTTGGCCCATCTTTGTGTCTGCGAAGTCCCTGCTCCTGCATATCACATATGATTATTGTAAGCACGAAAAGGTCCCGAATGATAGCTAGATGTGCTTACACCCCAAATGCTCGTGGCACCGAGCTGGATGAAAGCTGGATTTAAGTCGTCTGCACGAGTACTCTTATACAGCTGAATAAGTTTTTGAGAACCCCCACGTGCGGTTATTGGGAATGTTATCAGGATAGTTTTCGCGTCCGGAAGAACCTTGAAGGGTTCCGAATCGTCAGAGCTCTGGTCAAAGTGGAATTTGATCGTGGAGTTGTGCCCCGAGCGCGTTGTAGCTGCGAAAGAAAGATGGTGCTGTTGACAAAGCGGAAGTAAAAAGCTCGAAGTCCATCCTGCTCCTAGAATCAAAAGTTCTACTGGCATTTTGACAACGAAGAAATCGGAAAAGGATGCAGAAGAAGAAAATACACATACTATGATAGTTGGGCAAAATTCCAATGCGGGGAATCGAACCCCGGGCTGCTGTGTAACAAGGAAGGAATGAATGAAAGACAGCAATGTTAGCCACTACACCACATTGGATTACAAAAAATTAGCATTTATGGCAAACAGATTTATACATATATAGTTGCTCAAGATCCTTGAATGTGATAGTTTTTTTTACGTATTGAGCTATTCAATACTCATAAAATCCCTTACCACTCTTCTTCCCTAACCATCCAGCGTCAACCATCCGCCCCAGCAAGACACTTGGGCGATACTTCGAGTCGTGTGTACCTTCATAAAGTGTTTCTTGAATAGCCAAACATGTATCGAGGCCGATGCTTAATGAATGAAGAAAGCAAAATGAGCAGAACAGAGTAAATAGGACAAAGCGCTCACAAATCAGCTGTAATTCATTGTGACGAGAGACGAAAGCATGAGCAGCCGTTAGTATCCATTCATTCTTTAGTCGTACAAATATATCACCTAGTTGTAATGGTCCCATGGGATGGCCCATACCCAAACGGAGGGTTTTGTCGATGTCGTCTCGTGTTGCAGTCCCCTACGGTGCGACCAGAAATATAAGCGGAGTGCATCGAAGGCAAGGCATAAGGCAATTTTGATCGTCAAAGAAAATGGACGTACTGATTCTAAACACATAATGGCCTATCCGACTAGTCAGAAAGTTAAGACTTTTAAGAAGGGAAGATGTCCTCACCTCATTGAGGAATGGCATGAGTAACGCGTTCGAGACGAATCCGGGAACATCTTTCGATGTGGATACCTCTACAACTTAATTCCAGCTTCGAAAAGCTTTGAAATAGAGTAATACAAATTCACCCTTGCCACACGCGACTGCGAACGCCTTTGCCCGTCCAAGTGTTGAGTCTGAAGTCTGCAGCCCGGGTATTACTTCGCATAATTTCTACGTTTGTGTCAAATTCATGTTCTCTGAAGTCTATAAGACCATGACGACTCACCATCACCGGGACTGGATTAAAGAAGTGTACACCAACCACACGTCCCGCACAGCTCTTTCCTTCTTCACTTGCCTTGCTGACACTGCTACCCAAACCCTCCACTGCGGCTCCAGCTAATTTCGTGATAGAAATACTGCTCGTATTACTCGCTAGCACCGCATCCTTAGACAAATTTTTCGCTAAAGCACGGAATATCCCTTCCTTAATTGACAGCCTCTCCGAAGCAGCTTCAACCACCATATCCGACCCACGCTCGCCCAGCTCCCGCGCCCAGCCGAATTCATCATTTTTGGAAGTTGAGGACGAAGCTGACGATGAGGTGATAGATATAATTCTTCCCCTAGCAGCCTTCGCGTCATCCTCACTGATTTTACCTTTCGACACGTCTTTGGCAAGGAGTTTGTCCATGAACTCGAGACCCTTAGTGATTTGCGATGGATCCCGGTCGTAAAGGAGGACTGTGGGGATCTTGGCACGCAAGGAAGCGACGAGAGCAATGCCAATTCCCATTTGGCCTGCGCCGATGACCGACAATACGTGTGGAAGAGCCATAGCAGGGAGTGTTCTTGGGTAGTCTGGAAAGAGGACGGAACTAGAAATTCGGAAATTCACACGTGAAATCAATCGGACTAATTCCGGCCCGATGTCAAAGCATTCCTTATCATTTCCCAAAAAAGCAACTCCAGTTCAGCTCACTGAAGTCATGCATAAGTGATCAATCAAATATCGTATCTACAGAATCGAAATCATTTGTAACAAAGGGAGTCTAGATCCAGATTGGTACGTAGTATATGTACATCGTCATAAAGTTCAAAGGCATAACTGGCTATATCTAGAGGTACTTCTTACCACTCAGGACATAGTGGTCTTGAGCTTCTTATTTGCATAGGTACCTATCAGAGGTTGGATTACGTCAGTATATAGAGGCAGAAAAAACAGGTAAGAAGTAGAAGGGCCAATGGTAGGAAAAAAATTAGAGACCCAAAAGGCGAAAAAAAACTAAGCTTACGTTCATGCTTCCTCCTCCAGGCTTTCGCCCATTCATTACCCGCGTCAGATTGACGGTCCATGACGGTATAAAAGATTGTTCCCTGTAAGAGAGACATCCGAGTCTATGAGAAATCTGATATACGACCTAGATGAATGGGAGAACTTACATCATACAATCCTATGACATCTTCCTTCTTGACATTCCCTCCTCTGCAAGCCGCCTTGAGTGTGCCAATTACCCATTCCTTCGCATCCTTGATAGCATCATCGGCCTTGGTTCCAGCTTTTCCATTCGTTCCAAACAAGCCGAAAATTTCATGTAGCACGAGCTTGCTGTTGAAACGGAAAGAAGGATATCCGAAAAGGAGCCAAGTAGCAAACCACTCAAAGACAGCGGCGAACATGCTGTGCATTCAACGAGTTAGCGAAGAGCGCTGCATGGTGATTGAACATCGCACCCATAAAAATCATACTGAGCCGACGAGTGAATAATTCACGTTAGCGCTCAAAGGTAGGCAGAAAGTAGGAGTAAATCCTACTTACAGCCAGTCTCCTTTCAGCAACGGCGTGATATAATTGGACGGGAGTGATTTCCTCGTGAGGAGCGTCCGTGTGCGAGCTGCGCAGATGTCGTAGCGTAAATGAACATTCATGAGATGGGCACAAAGTTTACCTCCAGAACTTATCAAACCTCTTCTCGTCGAACCTGCCGTCCCTCTTAAAACTTCCACTGTCGCTCCCGTGTTTGGCCTTGTGCAATCCATCTACGTTAATTCGGAAGAACGGATCTGGAAGCCAGTGACCAGCAGGCAAGGAAGAATATGACATGGTGCAAATGACCATGGCAGAAAATAGCGAGATTACGAGTGAGTATCCTAGTGCGCGGAAACCTCTAAAGGTGTCGATGCTATGAGATTCTCAGTAGACGACCGAAGAAAAAAGAGTAAGTCAAAATTACGGCGAGAAGATTCCATCTCCATCGGCGTCAAAAAACTCGCCATGCCCAATCATTGCTTCATTGTCGTCGACTTTGAACTCTGGATCGTCGTTATCATTGTTCTTGATTTGATGAATATAATTATCGGCATCATGGTAGGGTTTGATAAGCGGATAGGCTTGCACATCGTCGATATCTTCGTGGCCGTCGGTGGCGAGGTACGAATCATCACCGTTGACGCCGTCATAAGAGTCGTGGATGCCAGTAGCCGCATCCTCGTGTATGGGCGACATTAAAAAATCCAAATACTAGATCTATGATGGCTGTTTAGGTCGAAAATAATATTAGCGAGAGGAGCTGGGAAATATTTATACTGGACTGAGACCTGGTAAAGTATACGTAGGGAAGTCCGATCGTGATTGAATAGCGTGTTTTCCCGCATTTGGCGCGTTTGGCATAGATTGCGTGGAGCGCTGCGGTGGCAAATGGGTTCCTGTATGTATAGGTAACAATATAATAGAGGCGCACCACCAGCGCAGTCATGGTTTCAAGCAGAGCTGTGGCGCACCGAACATGTGGGGAAAATCTCATTAAGCTTGATTAGGTGCCGAGTTCTCAGTAAATAGCGAATGGCCTAAATAAACATCTCTTCGACCAACGACAACTAGCAAGTGAAGCAGGATGGATTTTCACATCGAGATTATATGGCAAAGATTCCGGTAGCTAGATAATGCAGGATATGTGTGTAAATGAAATCATCCGTATTCTTACATGAGATCCTTGTAGATTAACGTTCAGTGTCCTTGGTGTCCATTTGAGAGTAGGAAAATCCTTGTGCTAATTAGAACTAGGAAGTGTCTCTGGAATGATAGAGGGGAGCGGATACGTGTGTAAGTATTAGAACCAAAGAGATAAGAACAACACAAGATCAAACGTCGTTACCGGGCAAAGTTGGCATAAGGCCGTATAGTGCTACTCCGACTAGGTGCAGTAGAAGCTGGTGTCACCATCAACTCGGGACCCTCGAATTCCCCGTGACCGTGCATTCCATGTGGCTCATCTGAGTATAACGACGGTAACTGCACCGGCGCCGAGTGCGGGCTACGATGACTTGGAGGAGGACTATTCAACAAAGGTGACTGTGTTGGCGATCGAACTTGATAGAATGATAATCCATTTTTCAAACTCTCAAGTTGTTTGACAACGTCTGAAAACGTTGGTCTTTCCTTGAGTTCATCGTCCCAGCAACGGTCAAGCATGTCCCGTATTCCCAAACGGTCCACGATTTTTGATGGGAATGGTGGTCGAGCGTTTTGATCTAGAGAAACAGGGTCAGCAGAGGAAGATATGATTCCCGATATTGAGAATGGAATGTTGAAAGACTACGTACCCAAGACGCGCTTCTTGACCACGTCATCTGCTATCATCGGCCAAGGAAGGCTTCCCATAGTCACGATTTCGACACAGGTTATAGCAAACGCATACACATCGTTCTCCTTTGAGATGAGTGAGCGCTCCGCCATAAGTTCCGGTGATTGCCAACGAAGTCCATCTACATTGAACATTAGTGTTTAGTGTTTAAGAATCTTAGCACGAACGGAGCATACGGGCATGCTTATCGTTTTTGTATGAAATCTCCGACTCGCGTTTACTATGGCCAAAATCAGCCAATACGCATCGCAAATCGTTGTCGAGCAAGACATTTGCTCCCTGATAGACAACATAGAACACTGGTAAGGGAGATGTAAACCACGATGGTGGAGAGAAACATACCTTGAGATCCCCGTGAACAACCTCCGCAGAATGCATATACTCCATGGCGATTGCAATCTCCTCCATAAATCTTAACAAGTCAGGAACAGAGCTATCCCCATACACCTCTGAAGCCATAGACGTCCCCATATCCATGCCCCCGTCCCATTCCAACCGCTTCAGGTATTCCGTCAAGGTACCGTTCCTCATATACGGGCTGATGAAGAAGCGAGGACCGATACTTTCGGAGTGAGAGTCACTTGCACCATACAGTCGTAAGATATTAGGATGATTGAGAGATTTCCAGACATTAAGCTCCGAAAGGAATGTATCCCGGGAAGTAGTCTGTTCGAGGACCTTGATGGCGATAATCCGGTGTCTCCAGGTTCCTTTATACACGTTGGAAAAAAAACCTCGACCTATTAGGTCTTGGAATACTA